AGCATTATTAAGTTATTTTATTTAATTAAACATTGTCTTAATTATTTAAGTCCTTAATTCGAGAGAATCTATTTTTGTATACGGGATGACGGCAAGGAATTTCTGAAAAAAAAAACAAACCCGAAAATGCATTTTAAATAATCTAAATGCCTTCTTTGAATTTAAATTTCAGTTCTATTTGAAAGATAATGGCCTAAAGCTAATCCAAATTAAAAGAAATATTTAAGGCATTTTTAAAACAGCACATTTCTTCATCATTTATAGACTCATCAATCCGCCATTTTGTATGAAAAATATAAACAGCAAACTCACTTTAAAATCCAATATTTATTCCAAGAGATGTATTTCGGAGACTATTAGTAAATCCAAGACGTAATTCACTGGATTTCTTAAAGTAATGCTTACCTTTTAATTAAAACAGACTGAAAATGATGAATATCGGAATTCTGACTAAAACATAATTTATAGCTTTCTACTACAAATACCAGAATAATCAAGAACCTATACTGACAGCAAACGGCATTCATGCGCACAGAGAATGAGTTCAGCGGATATATAAAAATAGAAGGTAAATTTTCATTTTAACTCCCGAGCGCTAATATCCCTTCAAATGTTTCCAAAAGAGTCTTATTTCCGTGCAAATATACATGCTGAACTCAAATCAACAATTAGATCATGAAGAAACCTACCTTTTTGGATGTTAACGACCGAAAAAAAAACTGCGACAAATACTTCCTTTGTTTTCGGAACTCCTAAAATGTGGTATTGTGGTATATGTATGATTGATTGGTGATGGATGAGTTCTTGTGTGAATTGGATAAATTGTATTAGATGAATGGGTCGTGATTGTGATTAACTATGACTAAGATAGATAGCAAAGACCAGCCCTTCCCCACTCCTCCTTTGGCCATATGCCACAATTATTATAATTTATACAACAAATATATCACCCCCCCCACACTTCATTTCATGATCAGGTATTTTTGTAGAAAAAAAAGAAAATGGAAAAAAAACGAGATTTGAACTCGTTGACATAATTATTTTCTATGGCATAGAGTTTTTGGTTGGTTCCCTGTGAATATGTGGTATTGTGGTATATGTACGATTGATTGATGATGAATGAATTGCTGTGGTTTATGAGCAGATTTTAAGGAATGTATCGTGAATCTGCTTATCTAGGTCTAGGATAGAACGTGTTGACCAGCCTTAACCTCATTCTTCTTCGGCCATGTTCCAAAATTGTTCCATTTAGAACAATAAATCATCCTACGAATTGAACTTGAGGCTGTTGCATATGTTTGTACCGATTTTGAGAGTAGTGTTCAACAAGTGGTTCCGGAGGATCTCCGCCAGAGTATCCGGGGGTGTAATTACGCTGTTGAGTAAGGATAAGCATAGTAGGAGGCAATTAAATGATTACAGGTCAATAACTCTACTCAAAATATAGTTATGGATTGTGGCCAAGATGCTGACGGGGCATTGACAGATTTTGTTAGCGCCGGAGCAGACTTGTGCTGGCAAGGGCCGAATAATTCAGAACAACCTGCATCAGATCCGCGCGATCCTAGAGGGTGTAAAAGACGACGATAGAGCTGGGCTGATCAAATTGGATCAGTCCAAGTTGGGGTGTCATTATCTTTTTTTTTGTACGGTTCGTATGTATTTTTGTACAAAAAAAGATAATCACACCCCAACTTACGTACACACATCCTCCCACCATCCATCTTCAATCATCAAACATGTTGGAATTTTTGGGTACCCTGTAAGTACTAGTGAGCTAGCCAAAATAATCTGACTAATTTTATAGTTCACCAATAGAAAGGTTAACCAATCAGAAGGCTCGAAATGTTCAATCCGACGTGTATAAAGGCAGCCATTTTGTTTTTTCTCCCAAAATATCTTTAACTGCCAACCTCTGATATCGTAGACGTAAAGAATTACTTAACAGCTGCTACTTTCTCCGAATATTCACTGCCACCCTCTGATATTGAACACATTACAGACTTCACTGGATTATATATCCAGAGACTACGGCAAACATGGTCAACAAAACAAATACTCATATCAATCAGCTGCATGCTATCTGATAACTCATCAAACATAAACATTTTCAATAGCAAGAAAAATCCATGTGACGAAGCACTAAAAAAGTGGATACACAGCAACTCAAAAACAAAAAAAGACATATTGTCTAGTTTAACTCACCATACAAAAAAACCCCGTCAAATCAAACTTAGAAAGGACATTCCTATATTTAATAGAAGATCTTTCCTGAAACAAACCGATTAGCAAATATATTCAACAAAAATAACATTAAAATCAGTTACAGCTGCACAAAAAATATAACACAAATAATAAAAACCACAACAAAAATAAACAACCTGTAATAATGCAACCAAGGAACCTCAATGCAACTGCTGAAATACAACATGTCCACTCCAAGGTAACTGCCAATTTAGGAATATAATATATAAAGCCAAGGTAAGTGCAAACAACAGAACAATATTCTACATCAGTGCCACTGAGAGACCATTCAAAAAAACAAGAAAAAAACAACCACTACCTTTTATTTCCAACAGAAAATACTCAAACAGCACTACACTATAGGGATATATGGCATCTAAAAGACAGGAATATTACAGCAAGTATAAGCTGGGAAATATTGAAAAACGCACTTGCCTACAAGAACATTACAAAGAAACGCCTACTTTGCCTACACGAAAAGGCAGCAGTAATTTCTCATACCGAACAAATGAAATTGCTAAACATAAGATCAGAAATAATTTCTAAATGCAGACATGAAAACAAATACCTGTTATCATAATTTATACCAAACGCATAAAAAATACCAACTAACACTACTACCATTGACCCTATGAACATGAAAAGAGAAACCACTGACGTCATAACACTATCAATAATTTCTAGTTCAAACTACAATCATAGTAATTTAATTATTGTTACTACGACACCACTGCCATTACTACCATCGCTTCTAACATTTTACAATAACTATTTGCTGCTACAATTGTTATCATCACCAGCTCCTCCCATTTTTACTACCGCATCAAAATTACCTTACCGCATAAGTCCATAACTACTAACGCATCACAATTAGCATTAACTCATCAGTCCACAATCATACTGCCTTCCCTCAGCGAAATTAACACCAACGCATAAATACTGATAAGTATTATAAATTGGAGTTTCTACCATTTACAAAAGCGTAGGTGTCAAAAACAAGCAAATAATCGGCTTTAAAATCATAACAAAACAGCATGTTTCAAAAATATAAAATAATAACAATTTTATCCATCATAATCTTAAACAGACCGCATCATTAAAATAAAATAAAAAATAAAAAAAAATAAAAACAAACAAACAGACGGATAGAAGAAGTGTGAACGCACGTGCATACGTATATATATATATATATATATATACGTGCGAGAAAACATTATACCGGGAACAAAATAGACGAACAGTCAGCGCGTTGACATTGCGGCTGACGAAAGATGTTCGCCACACCACAATCCAACATTAAACACCGCGACCAATTCCGTACGGATGTACGCAACGACACATGGTTACGCCCGGTCCCACACTGTTCATATATGTTTATATATATGTGAGGTATAATGTGTAAGCGTGAGTGTATGTATGTCTGCGTGCGTATGAGTGGCGTTCCGACGACAATTTTTCCTCCCACTACCATAAAAACACTGATATACGCAACCATATATAAGCCCATAATTTAAAAAAAATATCCGTTTCTCTGACGATCACTAGTTGCGTGAAACCCAGGTTCACAAACTCACATCGATACAACTATATATATATATATATATATATATATATATATATATATATATATATATTTGCTTTACTTAGTGTAGTGAGGACTTTTACTTAGTTACTTTTGTTTTACTCGTTTTGGAGGGTTTTTCTTTGGACTCTGAACTTGATTCTGGACGATTGTTTTCGCCTCAATTACATGGTGTTCTTTTGTTTTTTTTTATCCCTTGGGTATTGGTTTGTTCATTTTTTCAGACGAGTATAATTATTTATATAACTATTTATAGTGTGTTCGTTTTTCCAGACGAGTATAACTATATATATATATATATATATATATATATATATATATATATATATATATATAATCACCCCATACAAGGCAATGAAGCTATTAAAATAATAATAAAGACAAAACCAAAATCCTAGTAAGCAGAGAAAACAATAAAAGAACAAAAATTCAGACGATGACGATTGACACTGCATTTAAATTTTTGAAGATCATGCTCGAGTGGGCAGCCAGATACCGGAAGAAAGTTCCACAAGCAAGAAGTGCAGTAGAAGAAACTGTTAACATAGAACTTACGGTTACATCTGGCCGTTTATAGTGTAAAATGACGAAACCTTGCCGCCAATCTAGTACTGCATAAAGTCTGGGTAGCATAGCGAAAAGCTCATCCGAACAATAACAATGAAATTACGCACAGAAAAGTCACAGCTATATTACGGAAAAGTGACTGAAACCAAGATGCCAGGTGAGGACCAATAACATTTCAGATTCTTCCTTGTATTTTATCAACATTCTCTAAATATATAGCAGGAGTATCAGAACAGATGTCTCCACAACATTCTAATCGAGGGCGAATGGTAGTCTTATAAATAAATAATAATTATATCTATATCTATCTATATAGAGAGAGAAAGAAAGAGAGTTAAGGAAGAAAATTAGATCGAAGAAGATTGAAAAAACACGTATGCCATACAGACAAACACAGATATAGATATGTAGATAGATGGTGGGAATAGACCGAGATAGATAGATAGATAGATAGATAGATAGATAGATAGATATGAACATAGGGACAAACACAGATAGACAGATAGGTAGATATATATATATATATATATATATATATATATATATATATATATATATATATATATATATATGATAGATAGATAGATATGAACATAAGGAAAAACACAGATAGATAGATAGATAGATAGATAGATATGAACATAGGGATAAACAGAGATAGATAGATAGATAGATAGATAGATAGATAGATAGATAGATAGATAGATATGAACATAGGGACAAACACAGATAGATAAACAAATAGACAGAGAGACAGATATATATGGACATAGGAATAAACACAGATAGATAGATAGATAGATAGATAGATAGATAGATAGATAGATAGATAGATATGAACATAGGGACAAACACAGATAGACAGATAGATAGGTAGATAGATAGATATATAGATAGATATGAACATAAGGAAAAACACAGATAGATAGATAGATAGATAGATAGATAGATAGATAGATAGATATGAACATAGGGATAAACAGAGATAGATAGATAGATAGATAGATAGATAGATAGATAGATAGATAGATAGATAGATATGAACACAGGGACAAACACAGATAGATAAACAGATAGGCAGAGAGATAGATAGATATTGACATAGGAATAAACATAGATAGATAGATAGATAGATAGATAGATAGATAGATAGATAGGAAAATATTGAAAATATCCCGACCCCAGCATCAACATATGATTCTCAACCAGTAATCGATCTTCTCAGACCACGAGGTTCCTTGTGTCTGTCTTCCGAATCAAACCTCAATTCGGATACTGCACTCTACCGAAGATAACAGGAGCTCTAACCCTCGGCAAAGCAAGCTCAGTGTTCCTCCACCGCTATGGTTGAGCCACGCTGCCACTCGACCCATCTCTTCCTTGATTCTAAAGATCAATGCAGTTGTCATGGAAACGCATCTTCGATGATAACTGAAATTGCCTCGACACCTCGGCCGACATCCCGAACTGTCAGCCACAGTATGATATCAAACAATTGTTGCTATGAATATCTTAATGCCTTTTTAAAAATGACTTTATTTCGTGCTTTCGTTTCTGTTTCTCGTTTATTACACACACACACACACACACACACACACACACACACACACACACATATATATATATATATATATATATATATATATATAGTGTTTTGTGTAGGGCAGCAGATCATTGTTCATTCATTTCGGGTCACATGTAGACATTATACGATGTCATGTTTGATGATGAATATCTCTGTTGGATTGTCGATATAATCTGATGATGGCTGATGTGAGCCGAAAGCTTAGCTCGAGGAACACCATAGTAAAAAATATCCAAATGATGGACAATTTTATCTTTATTTTCTCCCGAAACTAAAGCCAATATACGAAGCTTTGAACGGCTTATGATCAAACATAATAGACATTCGTTTTCTGTTATATTAAACTATATATGTCTGAATATATATATATATATATATATATATATATATATATATATATATATATATATATATATATATATATGCGTAGGAGATGTGATCAAATAGTATCGGGAGTGTTGCTAAAAGAAAACTACAACACATATCAATTCAGTACTTAATCTCCTTAGAAGTAGTCGCGTACCGAAGCCACACACTTTTCCATTGAATAAAACATTCTTGAAACTCCTTTTTTGGTAAAGTGAGCAGCTCCCATGATGGATTCTCTTGGATTTCGTAGCCGTCTTGAAATCTTGTTCGTTTCAAGTAGGATTTGATTTTTGAAGAGGGAAAAGTTCAAGAGGCAAAATCTGGTGAATATAGAGTTTGACGGACCTGGGAAATGCTGCTCTTGATCAACAACTGCTTCACAAGACATGGTTATTGATGGAATCTCTGTAGTGTTTTAGGCGACCACACTCTACACACTTTCCTTCCGAGCACTCCTATAAACAACGGATGTGAGCGAGAACGTTATAACTTAGTGTTTATGCGCGACATGGCTCAGTGTTAATCTGTGCGAAGCGGTTATATTTTACCTCCAGTAGTTCTGTATATATGAAGAAACAAAATTCTGAAGCATATCCTTACTTCTTGTTTTCTATTGCTTAGCATTAAAAAGTTTTAACAAAAACAAATTAATTATAAATATATATATATATATATATATATATATATATATATATATATATATATATATATATATATATATATATATATATATAATAATTATTATTATTAAAAACGAAGACTTTAAAAAGTCATGGTGATATTTTATTTCGATTCTAACTCATCAGACCAAACATTATCACATTAAAAATGGATAAAAATTTTTTCGAGGCACAAAACAAATATCGAAGCATAAATTATGTCAGTTTAAAGAGATATATCGAAGTCGTAGTGATGGGAGCAGACATGTTGACCTAATTATCCCGGATGTGCACAGTGAAGTAGAAAGGTATCGTCAAATTTTATATATATATTATAATTATTTAAAAAAAATATGATTCCATCGCTACATAAGTGTTCTCATGCTTCAAAAACAGAAGCTGAAAACTTCAATTCAATTATAGTTCTTTTACATGTTCAAGCGAATTTTGTTTCAAAAACAGAAGCAGAAAACTTTAATTCAATTATAGTTCTGTTACATCCTCAAGCGAATTTTGGATTCCAAAATTCACTTGAGGATGAAACAGAACTAGATACTTTAAACTTTAATTTAATTTATATAGTGATAATATAGGCTCTACTTGTGTATCGAGCACTGTTTTTTTTAAATAAAAACATAAATGCTAAAGAAGTTTGAATGATTAACCTCACGGTTCTTTCCTATTTTTGTGTATATTTACACACACACACACACACACACACACACACACACACACACACACACACATATATATATATATATATATATATATTAATGAATAAAAATGACAATAGGAAAACTAGTAATTGCTGACGCGTTTCGTCCAATGTGGACTTTATCAAAGCAAAATACGAAAATGAAATTAATTGAACAAGGTAACTAATAAAGACAAAAAACAGAATGTTCCTAGCAACTGGAATGTAGAGAAACGCTATTTTTATATTTTTAACTGAAAATAACGTCAGTATTTGTCACGTGTGGAGAATATTGTCATTATATCTGTGTTGATGTATTCAACCATTTTCTTTTGATTTTATGAATCTGTTGTGCATATTTGTTTTTGAGAGCAGTAAAGTTGTTAAGAAAGGTGAAATGGGGAAACAACTTGGGCGTAGTTTAATATTTGTGTAATTTTCTATGGCTGCACTCTCCAGAATTTCCCTTCAGTGTGAGTTATTTTCTTTTTTTATGAGTGTAGCATTTTTAAAATCAAAATTATGGTTGAATTTATTTCTATGTATGACTAGTGCATTAGCTAAGTTGTTTTTTTTGTGAGGTCTCTTTTGTGCTCATAGTTTTCCTATTTTTACTCATTAATATTGTCTTCTCTACTGGTTAAATCGGATAAATTTTCATATATATATATATATATATATATATATATATATATATATGTATGGCGATTATTTCATATATATTACTTCTTATATATTTGTTAGACTGACCACAAATTCGACAAAGACCTTGCATACTTCACCCCTTGAATACTTCACCCCTTGCATACTTCACCCCTGGAATACTTCACGCCTTGCATACTTCACCCCTTGAATACTTCACCCCTTGCATACTTCACCCCTTGAATACTTCACCCCTTGCATACTTCACCCCTTGAATACTTCACCCCTTGAATACTTCACCATTTTACACCAACCGAACTAAACCTTTTAGTGATTTTGATAATATAGACGTCCCACCTTGCTCACACTGAACGAGAAATTCCACGGAGACTTGATTCATTTTGATGATGGTGCAAAGAAATGCACTACACTGAGAGACCCTGTTCTTTTACCTATCGCCTGTTATTAAAAGTTAGAATATATTTTTGAATTATAATAATTTTTTTGAAGATTATAATGATTAGTTCTACTAATTAGCCCATAGATGGAGAAGAATAGATGGATTTGTACGTCTCCTGAGGGTACTGACCTGCAAGAGAATAATGGTTGCAATCCGAACACAGGTCACTGATTTCTAATTTCAATCCCTTATACATTACACCACCCTCACATCCAAGCTTACAGCGCATTGTATATAATAGAGCTCAGCCATCTAGGTACTGGCCAGGCTCGACGTTGAAGCTTTGATTGCAAAGGGTGTATTAGAGTCGCAAAACGACTCATCGTCCGTTCCTAAGAGTGATACGTTCAAGCAATGCCTGGCAGATATGCAGTTGGATCTACAAGAGATACAAGACAAGTGCTGGCAGAACAAAGCAGAGGAACCTCAAAGAGATGTCAGTGTTATTTTCATTTTTTGCGTAATTTAGACGTCATTTAATCCATCGTGCCCTGTAGATGCATCCCACTCTATCGCCGGAAAGATCTTGGCACAAGTCACCGCCATCAATGTCTACGAACGGTACGTCTCAGAGGTATAATATGGATTTAGATCAGTCAGAAACACCTTGGATATGATGTTTGTAATAATGTAACTGTAAAACAGTGCATTTTGTAAAATATTCTTTTCTATTCTTTATTTATCGGCGTGAGTGCAATTTTGGCCGCTATCAATAGAAACGCTTCTTTGGCCTTTACGTGAGTGCATCGCGTGCCGGCAGACGTTTGTAAATACCATCCATCTCTTTCGGGATGGCATGATCGTTAAGTTGCTCTCCAAAGATGACATCAGGGAGCCTTTTGAAATCAGCGTGAAACAAGTATCTTATTCGCGTGCACGCTATCTTCTGCAACGCAAGGCTTAGAGGAAAGAATCTATATTCGATATTGTCTGGAAGAAGGCTCCCCTTATGACCTTCGTCGTGTCGTTGCCAAAACAAATAATCTTCAACACCGTCTCCAGAAGGGCCTCTTGCCTTTCGATTGTCTCTCGTGGATCCGAACCGTAGCTGAGGCTTGATCGATTCTATATTGGCCTGACAAGAATGAAGTGCTTTATCATCATGCACCAAACACCAACACTCTGAATCAGCAGGAGGTTGGTGTTTGTATAATCAACATTGATAACTAGGAGCAGAGGGATTGATCAGCATAGTTAATATCCAGTTTGTGAACGTTGATACCTTCAAATACCTGTGTAGCAAGCACTCCAGGGATCGTTCACTAACAAAAAAATGACGCTCGAATCAGCAAACTAAGCAAGGGGACTTCTAACAGAGTACGAGACCTGTGCAGCCTGTCAAAGAAAGTAAAATGTGCAGCTCAAAGGGCCTCTTTCTCCTATACGAACGTGTACTTTGTACAGTATGTATATCAAGAAATTTGTAAAGTCTCACATGTGGGCTCCTTGCTTCACACTTGATAACACGTTACAGGATCGTATCGATAACGTTGAATGTTTGAGCCTTGCGAACTCGATCAGCATCGGAATCAATGCTCATCAAGCCACAGATTATAGGTCATTTTGAGATCAGCTACTTTCGTTTGATAATCTTGATTTAAGGATTAATTTCCATTTTACATTTGATTTTTATATAGAATATTTGGCAAAGGAATGCTAAACAAATTTCGTCAATTAAATTTACTTTGAAAACATTATATTTTGTTTTGATAAAAAATAGGAAAAATACTTTAAAAAATTCTTACATTTTTTTATTTATATATATATATATATATATATATATATATATATATATATATATATATATATATATATATAATAAAAAAAAGAAGAGGTGCCGCAAACGTTTTTTGGTTGTAATGTGGATTTATTTAGAAAAAAAATATTATGCTTTGTTTGGCATAATTTTACAATTAAATTATGGAAAACAAAGCATAATAAAAAATAAAATTATGGAAAACAAAGCATAATATTTTTTTCTAAATAAATCCACATTACAAATCAAAACGTTTGCGGCACCTCTTTTTTTTTTTAATATACATACTTTTCTCTGGTTGGAATCACTACAACCTCTTTCTTTTATATATATATATATATATATATATATATATATATATATATATATATATATATATATATACCGTGTACCTCCAGGACATATGCGATTGTGGCTCTCCATAATTTTCTATCATTCGCTGTGATTTTCTGAGGAATATTTGTTACCCCTTACTCTCCCTGTATTCACGTTCTGGCATCCGTTTACACGTGCTAGTTAGGTTAGTTAGTCGTTGTTTTCCTCTGCGCATCTCGACTTCAATATGTCTTGTGCTTGTCAAATTCTTTGAGCCCTCTTTCCTCATTACACGTTCCAGAAATATTAACTGTCTCTTTCTTTTCGATGTAAAAGTGTCATTTTAGTGTGCATTTTCTTGAAAATTTCAGGAGAACCACATTTTAGAGTTGCTTCAATTCTTCCCTTCGTGTGTGAGGAAATTGTTCAACAATCATTGTCATATAGGAAGTTGTTCAACATTCACTGTCATGTAGGAAATTGTTCCACATTCACTGTCATATAGGGATTTGTTCAACATTTACTGTCATATATGAAATTTGTTCAACAATCATTGTCATATTGGAAATTGTTCAACATTCACTGTCATATAGGAATTTGTTCAACATTTACTGTACTGTCATACAGGAAATTCTTCAACATTCCCACTCATATAAGAAATTGTTCAACATTCATTGTCATATAAGAAATTCTTCAGCATACAAGAAATTGTTCAACATTCTTTATCATATAGGAAATTGTTCGATATTCATTGTCATATAGGAAATTGTTTAACATTCACTGTCATATAGGAAAGTATTCAAGATTCACTGTCATATAGGACATTTTTCGACATTCACTGTCATATAGGAAATTCTTCAACATTCACTGTCATATAAGAAATTCTTCAACATTTATTTTCATATAGGAAATTGTGCAATATACAACAAATTGTTCAAAATTCATTGTCATATAGGAAATTGTTCAGCATTCATTGTCATATAGGAAATTGTTCAGCATTCATTGTCATATAGGATGATAAATATTAGAGCAATTTTCTTTCTAACAGTGTTTTCCTTGATACTTCGCTTATCTTTGGGAAGGCATCTTCGGTTAATTCAGTGCACTTATCAAACATAAATATACATGAATATACAATTAACTATCAGTTGCTTATAATTTCTGCCCGCAAATATAGTGAAATGGCCGTGTGTATAAAATATATGTGTAAATCTATTAAGGTTGACATATATAGCAGGAATTAGTTTAATGATGTAATATAGGAATAATTTAAAATATATCATCCAGTCACATATATCGTATAATTCAAAAACAAAGGCCTATAAATAAACTGACAAAACTGCTGTGTGTGCGTATGTTTGATTTTGTGTATGTGTATATGTGACACAGAATAGGCGAGAAAAGACATTAAAATGTAGATAGATATATAATTTGTGATTGTGAATCGGTGGGAGATAAAGAGAGAGAGAGAAAGATAAAAGAGAAACAATGTGCAGACGAAAGAGAAAGAGAAAGAGAAAAGGTCGACCTACTGCATGAGTAAGCAATAAAATGACCCCTGATAACGGGCAACATTTTCGTACAGCGTCTTTGAGGCACAGATAAACACATACCATTCGAAGAACCTCCTTCTGATGAATTATATATGAAATGATAATCATATTTAGATAGATTAATAATTCAATACGTACTTTTATTGTGTTCTTTGGAGATGAAACGAAAGTACGTCTGCGATGGAAATACGTAAAATTGCCAATAAACATTTCACGGCAAGCGAGGAAGAAATTTTGGATGTTTAAAAAAAAAAGCCGATTTCATAGATTTGCAGAAATCAAGATGTCTACATTGGCAAATATTTATAACAAAGCTTGTTTGGATGCCATATTTTCTCTTTATTTAATACAATAATTGATGACAGGTGATAGAATAATTAAACAAGCAAGAAAAAATGTATCTTCGGGAAAGCAATGTTGTCAACAAAAGGGGTATCCCAAGTCGTGACTTACACATCGGGGACGTCAAAATCATTTAAATTTTGAAATGAAGGTGGAATAAGTACAAACGTCAAAATATGTGACACGAAAATATGTTTATTAAAAATAGTTCAGATTTTATTATTGTTTCAAAAACGAACATTTTATATTAACATATATATAAAGAGTGATAGAAAAGTAACTCCGTATTTTATGTATGAGTGGCCAGTCAGCAGTCTTGAGTTCGTGAAAAACGAGAAAAGCTTAAGAATATATATATATATATATATATATATATATATACATACATACATATATATATATATATATATATATATATATATATATATATATATATATATATCAATTCATGAATCATTCATACAAAAAGCAAATATAGAGGTTAATGATTTAAATGGCGAGAATACATCTTCGCAAACAATATAGATAAGATACACCAACCCCGAATCTGTATATGAATGATATGATCCCTGTTCATAAATTCCAGTTGCGTAAGGTCTTTTTAATTTTTAATTTTTTACAAGATTTCGTCTGTTTCTACAGACATCCTCAGGTATGGAAATAGATTTTGTTCTTGTTTTTACTTCTCGGTAATATATATATATATATATATATATATATATATATATATATATAGTTTAAAAAAACTAGGTAATCCGTATGGGTAAACCTAAGGAGGATAAAATCCAGAGAGCTCAATGTAAATCCAGAGCAAATAATTTAAATAAAAACAGACCACTTTAAGGTTCCATGCAATAAATTATTTCACCATATATATATATATATATATATATATATATATATATATTCGACTCTCGCATCGTATTCGACTATGAGGGTCAAGCAGCTCAGTTCCTAGGAAGCGACAGCTAGACACTTGCACATATGATTTGATTATAGTGGTGAAGTCTTTGGGCCGAACCAAGCACACTTTTTGAAGAGCCGGATACAGAGCTGGGGGAAGAAGTGGATTCATGCCTTTCCCAAGTGTATTAGCACGTAGGTCAATGTGTTGGATTCGGCTCCAATTCCTCAATCCAAGCCGCTATCCATTTCTCCACCGTGCCTCCTCAATATATATATCGCACTTCGCTTTTGTGGTACTCTCCAGTCAAGTTTAAAATATGAAAATGGGATGGAAACGACGTAGATATTTACACTTATATATATATATATATATATATATATATATATATATATATATATATATATCAACAGTTGCTATTATCATTAAAATTTCCAGAAACATTATTTTTTTACTGGGTACATCTGTGTGTGTTGTTAATCTTGATCTTATTTTCGCAAACATGCCTTGTTGTAATAAGATATGCTGGATACTCTCATGGTATATATATATATATATATATATATATATATATATATTCTACTCTCCCATCGTATTCGACGTATGAGGGTCAAGCAGCTCAGTTCCTAAGAACCGACAGCCCAGACACCTTCTCATATGATTTGATTATAGTAGTGAAGGCTTTGTGCAGAACCAACCCCACTTTATGAAGGGCCGAATACAGAGACCCTGTTGTACCGTGTGCCACAAGATCTCCGCAGGTTTTAAATTTAGAGTTGTCCTTCTCCTAGACCAGTTGCCATCCAAGACTATAGAACACAGTCTGTCCTGCTATTTACCCATAGCTGGGGAAGAAGTGGATTCATGCCTTTCACAAGGGTATTAGCAGGTAAGTGAATATAATGGATTCAACTGGAATTGAACTCGGCTCTCCTGAATATATATTATATATATATTAAAACAATATGAAATAATAATAAAAAAAAATATATATATATAACAATATATATATAAGCAACCGGTTTCGCTCCTGCTCGTCATATATATTCCACGGGAGATTCAAAATTAAAACATAGAAATGTACAATAAGAATAGGTGGGAAAAAAAATATATATATATATATATATATATATGTTTGTATATATATAAGAAGGAACTAGAGGCAGATGAAAAAAAAGTCCCAAGGGGGGGAACACTCACGTTGTTTGTCAGGCTTCCAAAGAAAAATTGCAGGACCCAATAAGAATGGTAAAAAAATGCCTCCAGAACCTTATAGGTGAAATACAGAGGTGACCAGATGACCAACACGGTTGTTTGAACCAGTCGACGCTAAATTTGGCGGCACAATCCTTCAGGTGAAATTTTATTTCGATCATATATATATATATATATATATTTATATATATATATATATATATATATATATATATATATATATATATATATAGGGTGTGATGGATGAACTTTCGTCTAAATTACGCAAAAATGAAAATAACACTGACATATTTACCAAAATTTGATCTTGAAATACTCTAAAAAGTAAATTCATTCAATAAAATCGCCATTGGCTTCATCATGACCTCCAAGTGACTTCGGAATCTCCTGTAGTTCTTCTGGACGGTATCATTGTTTGTGTTGGTGAATGCTACAAAGAAAGAGCCTCCATTTATCTGGGATCAAAGTGTAGAATCTGTTCTTATCTCTAATATTAACCGTTTTCTTATAAGGAATCGTTCGTTAATGACACAGGTTTTCTCTGTCTCTTTACTGCCCTATTGATGTTCATTTTGGATAAGGTAGGTCTATTTTGGACAAGGTAAGTAATTACTTGTCACACTGAGAAGACCTTCACAAAATTCCGGAAATCTATCCATATTCCTTCCGTGTCTTGTCAGCACAGGAATGTAAATAGCAAAAATACCATTCACAAACCAAAACGTCAATCACAGTAGAACTGACTGCAAACGTTTTCACCGTTCCATATTAATAGACAAATCAAACAGACGCATGCTGGGATTTGATCCTAATCAATATTGTTTCGGAAGAATTTTGAATTCACAGACTCTCAAGTTTGCGCTCACAGATTAAAAGAAGAACCCCTTTCCAGACCCGCAGGGAATTGTCTCAGAAGTTGGCAAGCTCCCATGTTATTGTCGATCATCATCTCTTGTCAATGGTTAAGGTAAAAAAAAAAGCATATGGCGTGCAAATGGTTTTCATCAAAGTGAACAGGTCGTCCAGAGTCTGTGATTTCGATATTCACCTCCTTGAAACAGGAAGACCATTTCTGTGCTGTTCTGTCAGTAACTTCATTCACAAGCAGCTTTGTCATTATTGTGTCCTTGATTAAAAGCAAAGAGAAGATGTCCAACATGTTCATTCTTGTTTACTCGGCATTTCATCTCAAACGGATGTCTAAACTGAAATAAAATGTTAGACAAAAGTTTCACAGGATGACCAGAGTGACTAAGAAGAAAAAAATGCTACGAAAAATTAATATATGTAACGACCTAATCCACACAGACACATACACACACACGCGAATATATATATATATACACTGGACAGGGTTGAAAATGTCTTGAAAATGCAGTAATGGTTTTACAACTATTGAATATTGAGAAGAGGCAGAGTTCGTAATAAACGAGCAAAGCTTCTAAGAATATATATATATATATATATATATATATATATATATATATATATATATTAGACTTAAGATCCATTTAGGTGAAAACCTAGGTAGTTAGTTCCTGACTCTTTAGGATTTCTGATTTACATATATATATATATATATATATATATATATATATATATATATATATATATATATATATATAGATAGATAGATAGATACCCTTGTGCAATTGAAACAAAACATAAAATTCCTTTATTATTTACTTTTATTCGTAGTTTTCAATGAAACATGACCCAGTGCACATGTTAGTACTTCGTATGTCCATTGCACAAAGTCATTTCTTGTAGATTGACCACGGATTCTCGATTGGATTTAAATCAGAAAAGTTTCCACGCCAGTCTATAATAATTTTAATTTGCTCACTTATCAGGCTTGTTCGTGCAGCGTTACTATTTTTATACGCTTCCTTGGAGTAATATTCATCGCAGACAATGGCAGTAGGACACCTAATCGACATTCCAGACAACAGTGTCTGGGCGTGATAAAAATCTGATGCAATCACGGATGACGCAATATTTTTCAAGGCCAAAATAATTTCAACATACACAATGAAAATAGATTCATGTTACTGCACACCACTGCAAATGACTTAATCTGATGAAAAAAACAGAAATCGATTATACCCGGTCACTCCAGTGGATCTAAAACTAGACATATGGTGAAAGAAAAGAATCTAAACCGTTTGTTTCAATTAATTTTCAGAACGATGTATATATATATATATATATATATATATATATATATATATAGTTACAAGTGATAGCAAAAACAAAATTTAGTAAGAGCTTCAAAGGACAGAAAATTGTGGGAAGCTTTGATAGCCAACGTCCATAAGTGACACAGTAAACAGAAGAAGAAAAGGAAGAAAAAGTAGAAGGATGTGAAGAATAAGAAGGGTGTGAAG